TTAATTTTAATTATTTAATTTTATATCTTATATACTTAATAAACATATTTATTATTTTTGAGAAAGTATTTAAATACTTTTAAACTTCGTTTGTTACTTTTTAATTATTAAGGTCTACAAAGAGCAGTCACTCGCTTCTTAAGTAAGAGATTTAGAAATCATGTGATATTTTTTTGATAAGTTGCTGATATAATTTTCATAATGATTCATAACAAAATTATATACCTATGAAATTATACCAAAAATATCTCAAAAACTAGCCATTTCAAAGAAAAATCCCATCTCAGGCACATACGATAGGACAATACTAAATATTAAAAATCGTGTGAATTGGACCATCCAACGGGAAGGACGAATTACCTGCATTTTGTGTCTGAATTATTGAAATAATCCGTCGATCCGGCGCGGCGGCAAGATAATGACTTAACATAAATATTGCTAGAATTTGTATACTTATATCTCTGAATTTTACGGCGACAACGTTGATTCCTTATTGTTTTATTTTGTTTTTATACAAATAAATGAATGTCGTTTTTATGTTTGTGTCAAATTCCAGCATCATCTGTGAGTTTCCATCGATGAAATATTTGTGATAAAACACTTTGTGATTATACAGTTTTAGTATAAACCAACAACAACCGTGAGTTTCACTAAATCTTTTAATAAAATTTATAAAAGATATTAAAGGACCGTACTTTGTGGCGTTGGGTCCTGTGGTTGGTGCCTATATACGACGAAGAAGAATGAAGATATAGAAAATAACATGAAGCATACATACATTTAAAAAAAAATCCCTTGTTTTACGTATCGCTTTCAAACTTTTATTTATAAGGTAACCTCATACGGACTATTTAAATATTTAAAAAAATATCAGACTCTTTATTAAGGAACTTTAACTGTTACTGTGTATATATACGTACCTTCTTCCACCATGTCACATTTTATTTCTCTTCTATAAGAACTATAAAAATACTCATTCACTCAAACGTAATATATAAAATTAAATAACACCGTTTGTTTAACTCCTGTCTTGCTTTGGTGTGCTTAGTGGTGCTTACACCATTAAGCACAATGTACTTAATTTATCTCAATAATATTCCCAAACACTATACTGAGATTAAACGACCATTGTTCTTAACGGATTCTGCCTTAAGATGTTCATTTTAAATCGTAACTTTAGTTTCATCTTCTCGGTTTGGTATTTGAATACATTACTTCTTTGCGTCATTTAAATATAGATACTTTATTGAAAAAAAAAACTGACTTGGAAAAATACATCAAAGAATCGAAATACAATTCTTAATAACTACAAAGGCTTCAAATGAAACTTCAATTGAATTCGGACGAAGATTTACTGGTCATGCTTAAAACCAAAACTTCTAATAAAGTTTCTTAATTATAACATTGATCAGTTTTGCACTTACTATCTTATACTGGTAAATATTTTTAATTAAAAAAGTTCTTATTTATTTAATTACTTTTGCAGTTATCAAAAAGAAGAAAAAGTTATTTTAGAATCAATAAGCAAACGAAGTGTGAAATCACATTATCATTTTTCAAATTTAAAACAAAACAATTAAAATCTGCCCATTATTTATAAATATAGCTCTTAAATGCATTATAGTATATTTCATAATAATATATTTGAGAAACTTCCAAGGAACTACTCATCTCATATACACACGCCAACATTACAAGGTTTCCATTGTATGACTGTAATTTTGATGTAAATTTTCAACAGATCAAGAATTTAAGTTGGACAGTTTTATATCATCTGATGTGCTGACTAAATGGATATTAAAATGTTATTGTTAATGTATTAAGAGGGAGCCTTATAAATTATTTGAATCAATATAATGTGTATATAATAAACTGAATTCAACTTTACTATCATTACAATTAAGTAATGACCTAAAAAGGGTAATTACCTAGTATTTCAAAATCATCAGTCATATGACAACTGAAAACTGACTAAAAATAATTTTGAAAATAATGATAAAGGTAATTATATTGGTGGTTCTTGGTTTGTAAGATTCGTCATCAGCTATCTCTTGATTTATTAATAGGGTTACTTATTTTTGTATCTTATTCCTGAACGAATTACGCCACAATATTTGCTGACTATCAAATTATATTTTCATAATAGGCCCTGTGTTTAGCCACTCATCTATGTAATCTGTATGATACTCGATTGTATACTGCGGTTCATATATTTCTTCTTTCCCTTTTAAACAAAACAAGTACCATACCACATGTAAACCTCCTCGCCGTCCATCGGGAAATAGCGAATACAATCAAAAAAATATACCTGACCATTTGAACAAATCGCATACATTTGTCGATGGCTCTTGTTTATTGGGGTCCACGTGACATATGCCCCTCGGACACGTCCTGATGACGGCGGGATTGTCTCACATTTGTCCCGCCCTTAGCAAATGTGTGGTCATATGTTAGGTCGCTGGAGAGAACGAAAAAAACTAATAAAAACGCTTTGTATTTTGTTTCACACTTTATCTTTGCTTTGGGGATACTTATGTTGGTGGTCGTTGAGGCCGTCTACACTTTACAGTTTTACGCCCACGTTCCGTTTTTCAAAAGAAAAGAATACCGTAAAGGACTACTTCATATCGTAGGACTATCTCTCTATCTTGGCAAAACATACTAACTCATGAATGCATGAAAGTATGCACAGGTATACAATGTTTTTCATCTATGAAAAGAATAAATTTATTAGTCAACGCAATCAAAATATACTATTTATATATTACTAAGTAATGGAATATAAATAGCTGAACTACATTTAGTTGACTGAAAACCGTTTAAATATGACGCGAAAAGCACTTTAGCAATTTATTAACTACTGACCACAGCTTTGAACTGCCGTATAGGCAGTTGAGGTGAGAATTGAAATTGTAAGTAAGGTCAAACGAGAATTGCAAAAGCAAACAAAATTATGTAGAAAGAAATAAGCATTTATAATTGTAAATAGACGGATATATGAAAATACACACTTAATACGTAACAACTTAAAAAGCAATAAATGTCACCAGAGTATTAAGGATACAAAGGCCAGCTACTCCATTGACACCACATTATTTCAAATAAAAATAAAATTCCTTATTTAAGTAAATAAGAAAGATCTCTCTTCCCTTTACTTATTCTTTCTTAATTCAAAGCTAAGACAAGACAGGAAAGCTACAAGCCTTCCTTACGTGGACTTCAAAGTTGTTGTATTTGAACAATTGAATAATATTATTCACTCATACATATCGTAACTTCTTATGAGATTGTTGAAAATTTAAATAGTTTCATTAAATTATGTCAGATTCTATGAGATATTCTTAAAATAGTAGTAGTAATATACGTGAACGTCAAATAGTCATCTTGAGTAAGTTATTCTCACTATTAGAGTATACGGACCGGTATGAAATTACAAACACTGAGCATGCTGGTGTTTGAAGTATGAAATATGTACTCATTACTTTAGTGTTGCATATAGCGATTACTAAATAATATCGATAAATATAATTTAATCTTTTAATGAAAAAATAACAAGCTTAATCCCGAATGCATAATGTCATGATGATATGTAACAATTTGTCTTTCTAAATTTTAATGTTTTATACATTTATAAATCACAAAGGAGCAGCAAGATAATTAAGTAATCTACACGCTATGGTACTGATAATTATTAAATATATTTACTTGTATATAGACAAAATGAATAGACTTATTTTTCATGTTACACATTTCTACCATCATTTAAATATTTGATGAACAAGTTTCCTTATTTTTTTGTTTGATTTTACTTTTTTTGTACCAGTAGTAAATTAAAAAAGTGATTTGTATTGTTTAAGTATTTACTTTTCAGTTCATAACACTCATACAAAATTATTCATATATAATTATATCGATAAATTTATCGACACGACGCAACTCTAAAAGATGAAAAGCCCTTAGCCCAGTTGCGGCACGACCTCTCGAGCCCTCGTCTGATACTTTTATACTTCCTTGCAGACCTCTCAAAGTAGGTAGACCTACAGGTACAGTTACGTACGGAGTAATTAACGGGCCAAAGTTGCGCAATGCAGGATACGGGTCAATGATCTTTGATGTTATAATTATGGGCAGAAATGTGTGTTTGATAATTTCATATTCTAGGTAACATAATTATGAAGATAGCCTATGTCATTATTTTTAAGGCGCTTTGGTAACCTGTGTATTCAAGGAATGCATTTAGTATTTTTTACTGTTCAGACATAAACTTACAAAATATAAAATAAAACACGTTAAGTACTTTCTGCAACTAAAATGTGGAATATACGAAATATCCTTATTATAATATGTAAATAACTTTACGCAAATACGTAATCTTGTCTTAATACTATGGATGGATAGTCAACAAAACTGTGACATCACAGCGTCCCATTCGTTTTGAATAATTTGCCAAGAACAGCACAATGACATATATCCTCACGACGATTAGCGCAATACTAAATCACTAAAACTGACAACCTCTTTTGTTACCAACGTCTGAAGGAAGAGTCATTGTGTGTAACACTATGAACTTTATTACGCTAACTTGACGTGCTGCGTCATATTTCATGATTTTTATTGCATGAATACTTATCACGACCTATTACAACTGCAAGAACATTGTTTCTTTGTTTTTACAAGATTTTAAAAATACTAATTTATGTAAATCGTGAAAAAGCAGTTTTCTTCCGTATATTTTCTAGGCTGTATTATAGTAAAATTACAAGAGAGTAAAATGCTACAATGAAGGATTAACTTTTTTCGTTGTTGTTTAATTAATACATAAGTTCTTTGAGACATTTATAGGCTTATTAGCAATCCACAAACTACATATAACTCTTAACTCAACAGAACTTAATTATACGCCTAAAGAAGAACTACAGTAACTGCCTAGAATACTAATAAATCCCGAATTATTGTAATCATATTTAAGTGTATTGCCACATTTAATTACTCGAGTAAAATCAAATACCAACTAAACTTACCCGCTTGTTGTCCCGGAACTTCAACCAGCCACTAATAACACTGTTGTCCATCTCGCATCCCTCCTCTGGTTCGTCATTGTCAGCTCTCCTGGAAGGCAGTGGAGAGCCCCCTGGACTGTCCACCAACTCCCGCCGTCTCATAACAGGAGTACATTGCTGGGACAGTCTCCCTTCATTGACAGCATCACTTCGTCTACCCAATACTGGGGTAGCATGACCAGACACGCCACCAAGAAAACCCCGACGGGTCGTAAAGGGGCTTCCTTCGAACATTGGTCTTTTTAATGGGCTGCTGTTACACTTGGAATGAACACACAATGCATCGAAATTCGCTAGTTCTACAGACACTCTTGTCTGGAGACCGCTCGGATGAGTTGTCAATATGGTCTGCTTTGCTATACTGCAGCCGTGCTTATGCAATTCCTCCCTTCTCTCCATTTTGTTCTTCCCTTAATTGGGTATACCACTTCTACAGCTCTCCATTTCTCAATCTCCGGTTCTCTGAAAAGACGAATAATAATTCCATTAGTGAAAATAGCGCAGCTTAATTGCGCAATTAGAATCGCGTTCAAAGCCTTATATTAGTTTATTAGATCGTTTCAGAATACGATCCGGGTTGCGAGAGGGCACTCAAATTGACTATTTTAGATTTTAAACAGCCCTTTATTGTAATAATTCGGAAGGGTCATAGATCGACGGTCATTTGTTAAGGGCGGCTCGTAATCTTCGGTATAGTCGAGTGAAAAAGGAATTCCGAGTGGTGAATTGCGTTCTTTAATGAAGTTAGGAAGTCTTCATAAGTCTTGGGGGGACCGAGAAATGTCCTCATCATTTATTACGCGTATTAGAAGCATTTATGTTTTTGATGAATTATTTAAAACTTAACCGTCTTGTTCCTTTTAAATTATTGCCGCAGATGTTAAGTAGCATGTCTCAACTACCCTTTCTCCTTTAAACTCAAGAAAACGAAAAATAAATTTGGAATAAAAGATATATATGAAAATTATTTTCACGCAACAGAGACAATCTTACATATCGAGATTAATAATGAAACTTGAAATAAATGGCAGTCTTAAAGACCTCTAGTTTTGTCACTGTCTCGAAAAATAGGTTTGGAAAGTTCTGAAGTTGAAAACTACAAATATATTGTGGTCGGTCATATTGTAAAAATAATAAATAATTTAAAGGAAAACAAAAAACCCGACTGCGTAAAAACGAATTTAAAAAAATACATGAAAAAATTAACTTAAATAAAAACTAAAAAGAAAGAAACAAGCCCAATAGTTTAGAATTCAGTCAGGCTTTTTGTTTTTCTTTAAATTACTTATTTTTATACTTTTAAGTTATGATTCGTTGACTTCGTTATAAGATGGTAAATTTCTCAATCTAGTTAATTAATTGAGGGAGTCAATATCGTGGGGATTATTAAGTAACTTGCAGTGGTCTAACTACTGTTGATTAGCCCCTCTAGAGATCTAACTCGGCTCAAAGCTACATATGCTTTATTTTTTAATAAAAATATTTGTTCTTCATGTTAATATTTTAAATAAAAACTTAAATCAATAAGTAAGAAAATTAAACAACAACGTTAAACAACAAGGAGAAAGTTTAGTTAAACAACTTTAAATCGTCATATATCCTAAACTAAATTTTAAAATGAAAAATGATAAAAGGAACCTAAAGATGATTTTAAAATACCTATTCAACGACACCTCACTTGACATAGACCTATGATTTATTTGTTTTCATTTTGACAATATGGCGTCTGGTTTTCGCTGTGGTAAATTTTGATTACCGTCATGTCTTTAGTGACACTAGCAAGGTTAAGATGAATCGATTGACGTAAGAATCATCAAAATCAACCTACGCATTTGGTCTCTAGAACGCCACATAGAAACAAACATACATACATAGACTGATAAACACATTACCCTCCTTTGCGTCGCGCAGTCGGGTAAAAAGGCTTATAATAATAACAATGAAGTTAAAATAAACAAAGTTAACTGAAAGAGGTAAATAGCATTCTAAAAATTGATGTTTAAAATTCACGTCGTACATTAATTTGACGTCGTTTGAAGAGGGTTAAAAGACAGAACAATCGCCATTAAGGTACACGACATGCTAACTGCTGCTGAATAAACGATCTGTTAATTTATTGATATTAGTTAAGTGGACAATTTAACATAATAAGGCATGACACAACGGCATTATATGTTTGAATGATTAATTTGTATTATTTTAATCCACGTTAAAAAATATACATTTTGTATTCTATCTATAAGGTATATTTCTACGCAACCCTAAATCTCTAAGTCCCGAAATATATTTGGAAAAGAGTAAACCAACCTTTTTAAGTGTCCTGTCGAATTGATATAAAATAAAATAATAACTTAAATTTTAGAAAACTGCATTTTGCACATTTTGCATTGAATGCTATTGCTGTCAGCAATGCTTACATTCTATTTCAATTTCTGTATGAAAAAAGATAGGGTATATGTGATTGTTAATTACACCTCGACAGAACAGATATCCGAATATTTTTAAAATAGTTCCTTTCCATTAGTTATGCAAGGTTTGACTTGTCAAATCTGACATAAAATTTCGGTAAAAGTCCAAATAAATGATGCAGTTCTTTTGGCTAAAGATTTTTTTGCAAATTCCTAGTTATATAAAAATACTTTCAATAATTTTACTTTGATATCTCATTTTTTCTGTTTTAAACAACAGATCTATTGCTGCAAGAATTTATGATTGAGAAACAAAATGACTTTTATTGAAGTCCAATTTCGTTGTCTGATTTAGTTCCCGCGTCATTCGTTTTAAAAAACAAACGATTACAATCAAGAACGTTTACGTCGCCATGAATAAGTCTCGTAATGGTTCATGCGTCATGTTATTGGAAATGCATTCTGTCGGCAAGCCCTCATAAATTATGAATGCCGCGGCTGCTATTATTGACGGCTTGGTCGATGGTTTGACGGAAGCTGTTATTATTTATCTGCTTTTCCTACGATTTAACAAAATAAAGTTAATAAACAAAAAAAAGTCGGGGTTTTAAAATTTTTAAATTAGTACTCGTACCAAACAACTTTAACCAACTTTCTAGTTGTTAATACTAAATGTATATATACAATATATTTTTTTTTAGTTAATCTTTAAGAGATTGCTGGCTGGCTGGCTGCATGGCTGTATGTATAGTTAAGTAAATATAATATAAATTAAAAAATAGAAACAAATACTCAAACTTAAAATAATATCGACATTAAAGGTCATAACAGACGGTTAAGATGCTACAATATTTCATCTTAAGTTATCTTACAAAAAGATAATATTTAACACTAAAGCTTTCATACAGTTGAGATTACGATAACATAAATGTGAAAATATTTTGTATCTCTATATACCATCTTAACCTACGAAGTATTTATTTATCTCAAGATATATCATCTATATCATATTATGCAGAACAGAACGACTCACAGTCGGGGCCCGTTCAAATTTTACCAATCAAATCTTCCCAAGGGTATGTGTCGTTCTGTTTTGCATTATAATTTATGATTTGTATTGTAAAAACTACGAGTATGAGTCGTTCTGTTTTGCATTATAATTTATGATTTGTTTTATATGTGCGTCGATTATAAATGATTTTCATGTATTTTTTTAAATTCGTTTTTACGCAGTCGGGTTTTTTGTTTTTCTTTAAATTATTTATTTTTATTCTATACTTTTTAGTTTTGATTCGTTGACTTCGTTATAAGATGTTAAATTTCACAATCTAGACATTTCATTGAAGGAGTTAATATCGTTTGTTAAACAACTTTAAATCGTTATATATCCTAAACTATTATTTAAAATGAAAAATGATAAAAGGAACCTAATGATAAAAGATGATTTTAAAATACCTATTCAACGACACCCCACTTGACATAGATCTTTGATTTTTTTTTTCATTTTGACAATATGGCGTCTGGTTATCGCTGTGGTGTATTTTGATTACTGTCATGTCTTTAGTGACACTCGCAAGGTTAAGACGAATCGATTGACGTAAGAATCATCAAAATTTGGTCTCCAAAACGCCACATAGAAACAAACATACATACAAACATAGACTGATAAACACATTAACCTCCTTTGCATTTCGCAGTCGGGTAAAAATAACAGAACTGATTCTCAAGTACTTATTTTCGTCATCAAAAAGTTTTTCTTTGATTCACTACTTAAAGTGGACATATTTATTGAACTTTATATAAAGGTACGCATATACTATTTAAATTATGCGACTCGGTATATGTCGTGTTTACAAATTTAACCGATCAAGAAACCAATGTGTGATCGTCGTTTTAGCCGCCAAAACTCGTAAGCACCTCGACTGTGATGGAAGTGACAGCACGCAATATTTCAGTATTAAGAATTGTATAGAGCTGTAATACGCCAAATTACGTTATTTGAATATAGGTACTTAATTTATTCCTACATAATTTTCAAGATATTGTGGAATGGATACCAGTTTAAAAAAAAGAAAACCTATAAGCGGTCAGTCCCATGAAATAATATACACGTGTACCTGTAGTTTTTAACAGAAGCTAATGTTTTTAAAAAGTCTGAAAATGGATATTTTAATAAAGTTCAAGACCACGTGGTCAAAGCCACTGGCATATCCAGACGATTTCTGCAAAATTTAATAAGAGACAAAGAAAATAATAGTAGGTCTGATTTTAACACACCTAAGAAAGGAAAGCCAAAGAAGAATTTCAGGTTAAAATTGGACAGTTTTGTTTACAGTATGATTAGAAACATGGTATACGACTTCCATTTAAGATTTAAGGAAGTTCCTACTGTAAAGTCTTTAAATATTAAACTAATGGACGCTATTGTTGCCAAGGATGTGCAGATACATTAAGAAAAAATCTTAAAGATATGGGGTTTAGATTTATTAAAACAGAAAATAACAGAAGTCTCATTGCAGAAAAATCTGCTGTACGCCTAAAAAGAATTGAATATATTAAGAAAAAGAGCTGCCGGAAAAAATATTGTATACATGGATGAATCTTATGTTCATACTTCTCACACAAAAGGCAAGTCTTGGCTTGATAAAAATAAAAAAGGGGTTAAAAACCGATTTCCAAAGGTGAACGCATTATTATCATACATGCAGGTAATGAGGAAGGTTTTGTACCTGGTGCATTACTACTAGGAAAATGTTTGGATTATGATGGAGATTATCATCAAGCAATAAACGCAGACACATATCAAACTTGGCTCCGCAATCAACTGATTCCCAATTTACTTCCAAACAGTGTGCTAATAATCGACAATGCACCATATCATAATCAGTTATTGGTTAATTCACCTAATTCTAATACACGGCGACCTGATATGATAGCTTGGTTGGAGCGGAACCATTTCCTACATTAACAAAGCCTGAGTTATATAAAATT